TCTCTTCCAACCTTAATGATTCTGTGAAAATGACAGAATGAGAAGTTAATAGAATTGGTGATACAGTTGTGGGTATTCTTGTAGTGTCAGGGGGTTAAGAATGGAGATACTGACTTCGGGATGAACACCCCATCCGTTCAACCATCCTTCCTCTCTTATTCCATTGATTCTATAAGTTAAGCTATACTTTGCATTATATATGAAAACTGCTTTGCAAAGTCAGGCTACCATAGAACGTGTGTGTATGTGTATTCTGGGATATATTGCAAAAATACTTTTCTTGTGTATTGTTTGTTGCAAAGATACTATCAAAACACCATATTTGAGTTGAGGTTCTTTTTATAGTCTAGATGGTAAATGCATAGTTTGTTTCTTGAGCATTATAAACTACATGCTGTTTGTTTAGTTAGTAAGTAAGGCTTTATCTTGGAACACCACCTGAATGATTGCAACTTTTCTCTGGAGAATGGATGTTTGTTCAGCATCATTGCAAAGAAAGCTTTTTTTTTTTCTTTTCTTTTTGGAATCTGGGTCAGACGGTATGTGAATTCCAAGCAAAACAAACTATACGATGAGTGCTGCTATTTAAACGTGGAATCTTTCCAATGTTGCATTTTTAAGGAGAGATTCACTTTTTCATGATGATGAGTTTCTCCTCCTCTAAGAAATGCATCATATCTAATGATGAGTTAGGTACTTCGTAATGTAAAAATGCATGTAATTGATTTAACTGTCTAAATATCTATTCTAGATGTCACTCTTCCCCGCCTCAAGGCCTTTATAGCTCAACTGTTGTCACGGTTACACATCGAAGCTCTTCTCCATGGCAATATAACAAAACAGGTTGGTGTGATACTTTCTTTAATAAAACAAGTTTTCTTTAAAAGCAGCATAAAAAATGGAAGACTGGTTTAATCTTCTCAGATCTTAAAGCAGTTTTGCCAAATGTGATTTCATAATTTGACTCTGTACTTTTTTTGTCTTTATGAATATCATAATGTCATTTTTTCCACTTTAGATTTATTAGACTAAGTGCTGCCCTTGTATTGCTCTTGGGAATTTAATAAAAAACAACTTATGATCTAAGTAGTTGAAAGTCTGTGTTGTATGTCATTACTGTGATGTGATCAAGCTGCATAAGTAAGGATGTGCTGCAGATCCTGCTTTTCCGTTTAAAAGTTTCAGGCTAACTGACAAAGATTCCAAATGAAGATCTTTGTACAAAGCTAAACAGGAACGGTGAGCCATAAAAAATAAGCGTCAGCTCTTAGTTGCGCCTTTTGGGGAGTAAAAATCAGAAAATCCTTTTTCCTATCTTCCATAAAAATAGTAACAGTTTGTATTTGCATAGGAAATCTAACCAAATATTTGAATATGTGTACCAATACAAAACATAGTACCTTTCTTGTACATTTTTGCATTCCATGTAGGGCTGGCATAGCAGTATTTCTATGTTATACCAGCTCTGTGATACTTTACTAGCGGGAGATGTTATAAACACAAAGAGCAAAGTTAACTGGTAAGGAGGGGAAAAATAAAAAGATGGAGCCAATGGCACTGGGTGCATAAAGTTTTCTCTTTCAAGGATGTCTCTTAATTTTTTTTTTTGTTTTATAGAATATTTTTCATGTGGAGAAATGTAAAAAGTAGTCTCTTTTCCCTCCTTATTTCTTACGCAGTTGTATATGAAAGTCATTTTCTTCTGAAATATGTAACTGAATGACCAGGTTTTTTAGATTTCCATGATGATGCAGTCATAGCAGAGAAATGCATTCTTTAATTGGCATAAATGGGTGGCTGTTGAAGAATACTACAGCTAGAGAACTGGGAAGTATGTATTGTTATACCCATGGCTGTGTAATGTTTAGAAATGATCTGCAAACCTCCCTGAATAGATGTGGGTAGGAAAACTTCTCTGTCCTTCAGTGCCCATGATGTGATCATTACTGACAAAGCTCAGAAATTTTAACCTGAATCTAAGAAATTTTTCCAACTAAAATTGAATCAAAATTGGCATACTCTTGTGATACCTTTCAGTACTAAAAAATGTTTTAGAGATTCTGTACTTTCTGAAAAATTAGACCTATCTAGCTGCTTAGAATACCCATTTCTTCTTGAATTAGCTTCATTCTGATATTTTTTTCTTACTATTCCTTTCATTTGCCACAAGTGGATGAATAGGAAACTAATCCTGTTCAGAACATCTGTCTGAACAATCTTGTTGTAAATACTTTGTTTTAATATGGTGACTTGATTGGAAGAATGTATAGTATTTTTTCTATCCTTTCAAACTGTTAGGCCTCAATCTTTTTGTCTTTGATATATTGGGTGGAGGTTTTGGGGGGTGCTGGGAGTGGCATGTGTTTTTTAAGTTTTCAGACCTTTTGCATGTTTTTGATAAGATCACTTGTGTTGTGAGTTTGTGGCAGCGCAGACTAAGAGATTGTGGCTTTCAGCCAAAACTACTTTGTAGCAAGTTACTGTAATTTCCAGCATGCAGCCTACAAGAACACATAGCCCTTAACAGGTAAAGTTTCTGAAGTTAAATCTTGAATGAAACTAATGATTTTTAATTTTTTTTTCAGTACTTAAGATTCTTGTATTATTATTATTTTAATCCCTCAAATAAAAGAAAGTATGTAGGCAATGAGTCCTAATACTACCAGCACATCACTGTAATGCATGTTTGAACTTAACCATTAATTTGTTTTCTTAAAATTCCATCTGTTGAGGTGTCCTTTGCAGAAATACATCGTGTGTGTGTGTGTGTGTGTAGTTTTCAAACTTGGAAATATGAGTACATCAAAGTGGTGAAGGGAAAGGGAAAAAAAAAGCCCATTGAACTTTAATTTAAAAAGTGTTGTTTACATGTAAACAAGATAAATATGGAAAAAAAACCCACCACAAAACCCTCAGCCTCCAAACACCCACGTCCTCTCATATACTTAACTTCTACTGTATTTTTATTAAATTGCAATAGCCATATGTTCTTTTTTTTTTTTTTTCTTTTCTCTCATGATTTTCTTTTCCAATCAATCATTGGAAAGTCTTACCCTGCTCTTAGGTACAGAATAACTAATGATCATTAAAAATCCTTTTACATTTTCTCTTCCAGGCTGCATTAGGAATTATGCAGATGGTTGAGGACACTCTCATTGAGCACGCTCATACAAAGCCACTCCTTCCCAGTCAGCTAGTAAGATACAGAGAAGTGCAACTTCCTGACAGTAAGTTAAATGACTTATTTACAAATTTTAAACACACATTAATTTGAGATTCTCTGTTTGCTAATAGTATATTAAAATTAATATTACTCTGTTGCTAGGAGTTTGTTTCAAAATCAGACTTACCTCAAATTATTTTAAACTTTAAATATAAAAATATAATTAGAGTGTTGTTTTTATAATAAAATTATACACTAATATATAATCTTTCTGGTATACTTGAAAATGAATTCGATTTCATTTTTAATCTATATATGTAAGTTGGACTTCTTGGGGGTTGAAAATAGACAAGCTTTAAAGGTCCCTTCCAACCCAAACCATTCTATGATTCAATCCTAATTCACTTGGTATGATTTTTACAGAAATAAGAGCTCTATTCCACTCTGCTACACATAGTATACACATTTCAATAAGCACCATTCTTGGAGCACTTTTGAGTGTTAATTGACCATTCAGTGAATGACTCTTGCTTTTTGAGAAAAAGAAAAGCTCTTATACAAGTAACTTTTTTTTTTCCCTAATATAAATGTTTTTGGTCTCATAATGTTTGCATATGATTTTACTTCTATTGTGCAAAAAAATCTTCATATATAAGAAAGGAGGTTCAAGGAATTGCTGGGAATTATACAGGAGTGATGACATATGTAGCTACACAGCCAAAGCCAATTACACATAGCTGATCGTCAGCCTGTAGAAACTGCCATATACCAAAGAACCTGTTGGTATTAAATGTTGAAGTATTTTTAATGTTCATAAATGTTTCTGCCAAATGGTCTTTAGAAACTGTTTACACAATAGAGGCAATGCAGATTTCCACTCCAGTTCCACAAATACTTGCTTGAGTAGAAGCAGCCAGTTTCAATTTAGTTGCTGATATGCTCAAGCTATGACATTTCAATGTGTTAAAATAACCTTTTCTTTACTTGTTTCATGAAAAGTTAGTGGAAATTCTGCTTTAACAGTCCTAAACCATTTATTATAATTCCATTCCACAAATGATAGACCATTATGTTTTTAATTGTGGACAATAAGAATGTACATTTTAATGAACTTAAATGTTTTAACTTTGCCTTTTAGGAGGTTGGTTTGTATATCAACAGAGAAATGAAGTTCATAACAATTGTGGCATTGAAATATATTACCAGACAGACATGCAGAGCACTTCTGAGAATATGTTTTTGGAGCTTTTCTGTCAAATTATCTCGGAACCATGCTTCAATACTCTGCGCACCAAGGAACAATTAGGTAAGTTTTTCTCATAGTGATTATGTGTCTGGATACACACATGCACGCATGCTCATGCACTTACATGAGACATTATGAGGTGTCCTTTCCCTGCTTAGTGAATGCCATTTAAAGGGCACTTGCTAAATGTAAATAATTTAAACTGCTGGTGACTCAAAGGAGTGTTACTGTCTACATACTGTATATTGAGAAGCAGCAAGCGTAATTTTTAAGATAAGTATGAAGTATCTGAAACCAACGCTGGCTTTTTAAAAAGTTTGATCAATGTTACAGAAAATTCACATCTTCAATTTTTACCAAAAGGAGATGAGATCAGTTTCCCAAATTTTAGATCTTCTTAAAGAATCAAGAGTAGTAGTTCAGTCTCTTCTGCTTGAGATCTTACTTCCAGGTGCACTTGATGATTCACAAGCACTAGTTTAGGAATACTGCTGTATGGGTCATGGTAAGCTGCCATGCTCAACACATTTCAGGCTTTTTAAGAATACAGCTGTTCATCAGTAATTGTTACCTGAACCAGTAGGACTGAGAACTGGTAAGGTTATTCCAAACAGGATAACAAGGAGACACAGAGACTTTGCATGACAGTTTGCATGATTGAAGTACTGAGCAGGAGTACGGTTTTTCCAAAGGTGAGAAGTAAGGGAATGTCTCAGTGTGATGACTATGAACTACCAGGGAGATCAGGCAAGATTAGACTTTTTGTGAGCTACTAGCAGAATCAGCCATACCATATTGATCATAGGAATTTTAACTATCTAGGTGTCTCTTGAAAATAGGGCAGGATCCAGGTTATTTAGCAGGTTTTTGGAATCTGCTGGTAGCAGGTTTCATATTGAAGTTGGAGGTAACAGCTACAGAGGAGGGGGGGAACCAGTGAGGAAGAGCTGTCTGAGTGTATCCAGCACTGCATAACCACCAAATGATAGAGTTCACAAGACTCAGGAGGGAAGACAGTAGAAGTACCAGCAAAATTCAATAAACTTCATGGAATTATTAATAAGATCTCTGAGAAAGCTTGGGGAAAAAGTAGTCCAGGAGTTAGCAGTTTGCTAAACAGTAGTAGTAGTAACACGAACTCATTCAATAAACACTTTAGCAGTATGAGAAAGAGGAAGAGAGAAGTTGTCAGTGGTGGGGAAAAAAGGTCAAAATGTTTTAGGATGGCTTTGTTAGTCTTCACGTAAAATGTCAACTGTGACCAGATGATTTCCAAAATAAATACCAGTGATTAAAGTCCACGGCTTACCTTTGAACAGGAACATAACAGATTAAAGGTTGTTCAGGTAAATTAGAAGCTTCTAAAAAGTTCAGGCATGATGAACTCTACAGTAAAAAACCCCAAAATTATGAAATCCTGGAATTGAAAATCCTGTAACTGAGAATTCCTGGATGATAGATGAGGAAAAATAACGTTTCCTTAAAAAAGGGAAGAGAAGAGAAGGGGAAATTACAGATAAGTCAGCTTTAGTTCAAATTCCTGGAAAATGCAGAATAAGTTATCAAACAAGTTCTAAATTCATAGAAGACCACTGAGAGACTATTACTGGACAAACTAACACAACTTTTTTTTTTTTGTAGAAACAGTTTGGCTGTAGGGACGGAAGTGGTGATGTTGTATGTCTCTTCTTGATAGTATGAAAGGCGTGTAACATTCTCAGACAAGCTAGAGAGCTCGCCTAGGTGGACATGTTACACATTTGGAAAGTCACGTTAGACATGTTACTGTTTGGAAAGTCATGACTGGAGAAAAGGTCAGAATAGTTCATTAGGAGAATGGTGTTCCACAGAGCTCTGTTGTGATCCAGTGCTATTTAGTATTTTCATCAAAACTCTGGATGATGGAAGAGTGAATACAGTTAACTAAATACTTCAGATAATACTAAGCTGAGAGAGGCTGCAAGTGTGTGGGAAGATAGAATTAGAATTCAAAATTAGTTTGACATTTTAGAAATATGACTTGAAGATAAGATGCAATTTAGTAGGAACAGTTTGGCAGGAATAATCAATGGCACAGGTACAAGCTAGGAAACAACTGGCTAGGTAGCAGTTTTGTAGAAAACAATCTACAGATTACAGTGGATCAGAAGTAGAACGTAAATCAGCAGTGTTGTGCTGCTGTGTAAAATGCTGGGATAGATAAATAGGAGCTTCCAAGATGCATACACGATAATACTCCTATGTTGTTCAGGTAAGGACTTTAAAATACTGTATACAGTTTTGACATGAGCATCAAGGAATTATTAGAGAGCTATGAAACAACATTTAAAAGAATGACACATTTTTTATTAAAAGAGGGGAAGACGACTGAAAAAAGGCTTGGGGGTTCAGATAGCCAAAAGCTGCAACAAAAAGGAAGGGAATAATATTTTCTTTGTATCTAATTGGCAAGATGAGAAATAGTGGTTTGATGTTACGAAAAAGTAATAGGAAGTTCCCAATGTTGAGTCTAATGAAGCCCTGGAGTACAGCTTAATTTCTGGTTTCCTGATCCTGATGACAGAATTCCTTTTGTTCTGTCTTGGTCTGTCTCATCTCCTCCTTGACCCTCCCCTGAACTGATACCTCAGTGAAATAAAAAATACAGTGGCATGTTTTGAAACCTTCATTATATAATTTATAATACAGAATTAAACATAGCATAAAATTGCATTCCTGTCAGACATGCCATATTTGGCAAACTTCATGCTGGAACAAGGGGTTTCTTCTAATTTGTCATTATTCTTGTTTTGCCAAGGTTACATTGTGTTCAGTGGTCCACGTCGGGCAAATGGCATACAAGGACTGCGATTTATTATTCAATCTGAAAAACCACCGCACTATTTAGAAAGCAGGGTAGAAGCATTCTTAAAAACTATGGAGAAATGCATAGAAGACATGACAGAAGAAGCCTTCCAAAAACACATCCAAGCTCTAGCAATTCGTCGTCTAGACAAACCAAAGAAGCTGTCTGCAGAATGTGCTAAATACTGGGGAGAAATAATTTCCCAGCAGTATAACTTTGACAGAGGTAAGACAAATTATAATTCCTTTAAAACCGAATGCTGTAGTTTGGCTACATTTGTGACTGTTGAGTGTCATATTCATTTGGGAACAATTTAAACTTTTACATAGCCTGTCCATAATTTAGTGTATTTTTTGTGATTTGTGTCCTGTAAGTTGTATTTCTTCCTTCTGCCTTGAGAAAATACCTCATTTGTAGAGCCTGTGCTCTCACTGCTGTGGGAGCTGTTAGTAATAGAGGATAAATGTGTTCCCTGATGTTTGCCATATGATGTGTGTTGGTGAATGCTTCATTGACGTTCTGTTCTTTCCCTTAAGGCTCAGAGAGACATAGAGTAGGTCAAGGATTGGAAGTGGTTTGAATGTAAATGTTGATGTCATATAAGCTCAAATGTCTGCCTGTGATGTTCGGACGTCTGTATCACGTATGTGCCTAATAGTTGACTGAGATGCATTCAGATACACACATTCATATGAACCCTTTCCTCTTCCCAGTTCTTTCAGGGAGTGATGGCGGAGGCAACAGCAGGTGTCTTAACTAACATGTGACCTGCCTCAGCTTAGAGTAGGCTTGAAGAAATACTAATTTTTTTGGTTTTTCATCCATGATACTTTGAAGATTATAAGCTTGTAGAAGACCAATTGAGATCCAACTTCCAGTGTTATTACTGAAAATGGATGGACAGTTAATTTACATTGTGATCCTACATAGTATTTAAGTTGTATTTTTCCCTTTTTCCATCATTGTTTGAAGATTTTTTTAATCCAAAATACAGAGGTATATTAGTAATATAGTTTCTAACACTGAAAACAAAAAATCAGTTTTAGGTACAAGGTCAGCTTTTCCTTACATTTTTTATGTCTCAACTCTTATTCACAACTATAATTTTCCATCTTCCATCCATAAGATGCTTCCTCCATAAAAATCACTCGTGTCCTGTGACTTCTCTTTTGCTTTACAAACACGGTATTGGCTTTCCACAGTAGTAAATATAGTCTTTTTGGTCAACAGTGACTTAACTGAACTGTTCTAATAATGAAGAATTTTGAATTGTCATCTAGCTTGGTCTCAAGAGAATGAGAACTACTGACAAGGTTTCACGCCTGAGACTGGCATGGAAACTTACCCGCTCAAGTGCTTTTTTTGTGTCTGATGAAACAGTTTCATTTTTCTCTGCCTTAAGTGTTTCTGTTTTTACCTTACTTGGATCTATATTATCTCTCTGTAATCTGTTTACTGATAGCTGTAGCCATATCTTTCATATTTAATCCCACTTATTAATTCCCTTGACTTTTATGTCTTTAATTCCTCTTTACCCACGTGTAATTTTATTTCATTAATGATTCTAATAGGACTGGAATTGTCAAAATGAGAAATTCATATTCCATCCTTCAGAAGTGATAGGCTTTTTTCTTCAGGTTTTAACATTTTTATTATTATTACTTTTAATGTTTTACGGAGTTTAAAAATTTTCTCTCAAATGTCATCTAATTTTCCAAACTGTTTCGTTGATTTTTTTTTTTTATTTCTTCCATTTAGAACTTCATACTAATTGCTTACAGCCTGCCTCACAGACTTCTTAACTGCATATTTGTTCTCTTGCATGCAGTTCTTTCTTGATTTTCCTGCCATCCCTAAGAAAAGTAAGCATGCCTACCACAAAAAACTTTCCTGCTTATGCAGCAATGATATTACATGATTAGTTTATTACAATTTAATCTATATGAAGTGATGTATCTACTGAGACACATTGTCCTCAGGTATCTTAAAGGTGATTACTCCTTTACAGGTCTGATGTAGGCACGGTTCCTTCCATTTATTTAAAAGTACATCCTGCCAGCGTACATCCTACCATCCTGTTTCCTGACTGTGCATAAAAGCCATCTATAATCAGTCAGCATTAGAAGTATACAACATTGATTTGAAGATAATACACAGAAGTAGGCATATCGGTTTTAGCTACTGAGTACCATACAGTGCAATCTGTATTGTTCAAACATTCAAACTTTTAGTAAGTCAAATCAAAGGGACTTACTGAAAGTATAATTTTCTGCCAAGCTTCCAATGACACCTTTAGTGATGTAAGTATTAGCTTGAAAGTTAAGAATGAAAAGCATATCATTTGCAGCCAATTACGGCATCTAAATTTGAAAGAAAAATACTTTGAATAAGTAGTGTGCTAATAACCAGCTATGATTTGCAGACTTGTTCTAATTTTTACTATTGTTGTGCAGATAACATTGAAGTGGCTTATCTAAAGACCCTGACCAAGGATGATATTATACAGTTCTACAAGGTAAGTTAGTCATGTAGTTAAAATGTTACTTGGAAAGAGATACAGATATAACTGGATGTTATTCGTGTGAACTATGAAAGCATATATTTATACCTGTTTTAGATAGATTATATAATTGATGCAGATACCTTAATAATAATTTTGTTTCATGAATCTTACTTAGTTTAATGGCAACTAGCATACTGTAAAAATTGTGGAAGGATTGGGTTTTGTTATGTTTTGTTTCTTTTTTTCTTACCAGATCTTACTCTCCTCTTGTCTCATTTACTCTTTCTTTCTAAATAAAGTGCTGTGTTATGACCAAGCTCGGCCAAAATTGCAAATTTGTTCTTCCCCCCCCCCAGTAAATCATTCAGGTTATTTTGTGTGCATGAATTGTGAATGACTCAGATACTTTTAAATCTTTAACTGTAAATCAATACTTTTTCCTTCCTTTCATAGTTAGGCAGAACAAAGGAACAGCGTAATGATGCAATAATTGTACATTGTAACTCAGCATGAAGTTGCTAGATAGATATCTAATATAAGCAATTGAAATTGGGGGGGGTGTCCCCAAAATAAATTTGGCCTCATTCTTTCTGCTTTGTAAGAAATTTCAAAATTTCGTAGGCAATGATAAGTCACTATATTGCAGAGTGTACATACTGTTTTATTACTTACGGAGCAGCTAATAGCTCAGGGAATACTTTGAAAAATAATGTAGACGTATGTCTTTGGAACTTACTGTTGGATGGAATAATTTCTGCCCATGAAGCAGCATGGGTATGTGTGTATCTGTGTGGGGTTTTTTCTGTTGGAGGTGGGAGGGTAATGTTTTCCAAAATAATTTCTCTTTTGTACTCTGTTTTATCCTTTTCACTATCCAAGGTAATTTTAACATTACCATCTATGAGATTTAGTCTTAATGCTCAAAACTGGTTATTATTTACATGGCACAGCAAATAGTAACATCTTTTGGGTTTTGTTTGTTTGTTTGTTTTAAATAGTATGATAGCATGGGTGAAGATATGTAGCAAATACAAACTTAGTAAATGGAATTTCAGTAGCTGTTGTTTAATAAATGATAACTTGAACAAGTATCCACATTCTGTTTTTGTAGGAATCTACACTATTTTGCTTACACTAATGCTTAATATATGATTATCCAGTATTCCAGAGCAGAAATAACTGGTTCCAGTTAGTGAACTAGTCCAGCTGAGTTTAATAATTGTCAAGTTATTGTTAATGGCTGGATTCCCAGTACTTCCTGTTTTTCTGAGTCACAAACAGTACATGAATTTCTTAACTTGATTGTAAAATAATTCAAAGTACAGGTGACTTTTAACAATATTTGAAGGGACATCCCAAATTTCATCCCTCGTTTTAAGGCTCAAATTAAAATTTAAATGCTGTCATTCTTTTACTGTTTTATAAATATAATGTCCAAGTGGTACTTCCCACACCTAAAGGACTTGATTTTTTTACTGTAGGTGCTGTTGGCAATAGATGCTCCCAGAAGACACAAGGTATCAGTACATGTCCTTGCAAGGGAAATGGATTCCTGTAAGTATTTTGCTGAATATAGTGTTTAATCAATTCCTGTTCAAGCAAGTCATAGTTAAAGACAGCAGTGTTACATGATACAAATACACCATAAGAAAAACCTCGGCTCTGGAGATCATACACCTTTCAGAGGAAAAAGTATTTCTTTTTATAGGTTTTCTTCACATGGGTGCTTCAGATTTTTTGATTGATGTTTGTGGCCGAGTTCTTCAGCCATTCAGAAGTATATTGATATTAAAACAATATATCTTAAAATAGCACTTCTTTTTTCAACAGGATATTTTAAAACAAACATAAAACTCTGTAATAGTACTACAGAGAAAAACAAAATTAGTATTTGCAGTTACCAATACAATGTGTTGTGGCTGTTAGGGTTTTTTTCTGACAAGCAATAAATGTCCACAGTTTTATGCAGGCATTTTCAAAGGAAAGAAAAAAAAAAAGGGGGGGGGGGAAACCCCAAAACCCTCTGGGAATGTCAAACATTATATTTAATCTTGAGAAAGTCAAAGTTTGTTTAGGTTTTATTGTCAAGTAATCTAGATTAGCTGTGCATTGTAAACTGTTGTTCCATTTTAGAATTCAAGAAGGAAAAGGTTAAAAGTGTTTCTGGTTAATATAAATAAACTGAGAGGAAAAACTTCTATGTTGCTTTATGTGGATTTTGCACTATACTGGACTTAAATTCCAACACGTAACTGGTTTCAAAATCAAGACTATTAAAGGCTTGTCTGTAGAACAGAAAGAAGCAGATAGGTGTGTGCCTATCATGAAACTCCTTCCAGTCTCAGAATGATTGATTTTTCTGGTACCATGGAAATTGTAATTCTGCAGCTGAGTAAGGAAGACTTGCTTCAAAGCATCTTTCCAGTTTTCACGACTAATCATTGCTAAATAGAAATAGCTCTAATACTTTTCCTACCTAGAGAAAACTTTTTAAAATGTAACTACATTGCCAGAATGGTTTATTATTTGCTTGGAATAGTACCTTCCCAAGACAAGAGTCAGCATGGGAGATAACATAACAAGTGGTTACTCTTGTAAGATTATAGCAAGGTGTTCTCTCCACATACTCTCCAGTCCTAAACCATTTAATGTGGCATGTGGCCTCTCTTCTGCCATGAAGGAGAAATTGGGACTTGAATGCATTTCCCATGAGTCCAAATGAGCATTATTCCAAGTGCAGCTGCCCATCCTCCAGAGAGTAGCACAAAAGAGGAAGGCTGAAAAGCTTCCCAGAGAGAATCCTTTTTCCTGGAGGCAGACGCAACATTTTCTCTGAGAGTTGAAAAGTGTCAGAAGCAGTAGAGTAGAGATCTGGGGTTTTAGGAGGCGGAAGCACTTGAACTCGCAGGGTTGAAGGTTAGGGTTGAAATTTGGGTATGGAGGTAGAAGGAAGGTTTAAGGAGTTTAAGACTAGAAGTTCTTATGGACAAGTGGGTTGGATGCAGGAAGACGTTTTGGGGGGACCTCATGGGCATGCATGGGGACAGGCAGGGAAGATGTGGGGTTGCTATCTGGAATTTTGGTACATGGAGTAACCCCCACACCTCCATAGGCATATCCTTACTAAAAGATGTGCTGTTGTTGCCTTGCTTTTGTTGCATATACCACTGGCATTTACTACTGTTCTCATAATTTGTACCGGAAAACAGTTAAGTATTCATTGATCAGTAGATCAGCAATTTTTATTTCTACATTCTCTTTATGTATAAGTAAAATTATTAAAAGCCACTCCCTTAGCACATGTTCTCAAGTCAAATTGTGGATTAAGCTCTTTGTATTTCTAAAGACAGCTATGGAGTATTAAAGCAAACTGTTCAGGAAATCTTATTTAGAGATACTTTAGTAACCTGTGATTTCTATAGATACCTGTCTTGTAAGAGAAAACAGTTTATTATATAAAAGGTACTGATTAAATTATGGTCCTGAATTAATTTTGATGATGTTAAATAGGCCCTGTTGTTGGAGAATTTCCATGCCAAAATGATGTGAACCTGGCACCAGCACCACCACTACCACAGGTAAAAAGAAAACACAAAAAAATCACAGTCTGTATTACTATGGAAGTTTATTATCATTAAATACAAGTTTATAGGGAGAAACAAAGTTGTGGAAATTCATGCTGTTGTGGGGCTGACGTTTCAGCTCTTTTCTGCATGTATTGTCATCCTCAGTAACAATAGGGATTTTTCCTGATGGCCCCCCCACCCCTTTTAACAGTCTGTCCTGTTAACCTTTGTTCCTTCTATTCCATTGAAATGAATGCTAATGGTAGTAGTTAACTTCACTGAGTATCTACACTGTGGAGCAAAATACAGATTATTATTGTCTGAAAATACTGATTGGATATGACCAGATGTATCAAGTGCTGAAAGAAAGATGCATATGCACCAACAAATCTATCATCTTTGTTTAAAAAACCCAAAACCTCAACCCCAAACCACCACCAACAAAACCAACTGTCTGGTCATTATCTTGAAGCCTAAGAGACTAATGCGCATTCCTGTCAACATGTAACCTGTGGAGGAAGAAATTTGACTAATTCTATTCATAAAAGTATTGCAGATTTCACTGTGTGCTTAGGTATGATAGCACTGGGCCCTTACTGGACCGTAAATGAATTTTCTTGAAGAGGATTGGTAATGTTTGTCCCAACAAATAATTAACTTTTTGCAATGCAGTAGTAGATCTGTGTTCATATTCAGTTCTTATAGGTGAAATAATCACCATGGGTGGAAATTTCTGTATGAATTACATGTGGATATATTAGCCATTATGACTGAAATATTAAAAAGTTACTTTGTTACTGCAACTAAAAATGATAGCTCATTGAATTGCTATTATTTTTATGATCCTACATGTGATATTCAAAGGATAGATGGGAAGTTCTGAAGTAGAATTTGTAAATGAAAAGACAAGCTCTGCATTTACTGAAGTTCCCGTCATTATTAGTAACGCAATTATTGCATTATAGCTGTTGTTTTAAATTATCTAGAGTAAATATGAAACCAGTTGTTTCATAAGAAAGAACACTATATTGTGGGGGATCCCGTTACAATGAAATGTGGATAGCTAATATTGTAGAAAAGAGCAAGAAAGATATGTTTATATGTAGCTGTAGCAAAAGTTAAAACGAAAAGCGAGGAATTTCTCACTTTTCTGATCAAAGATATTGAGCAGACTTTTTCTTGCGTACACTTCTTTGCAGCCAAATGTGATTGAAAATATGACAGAATTCAAGCGCAGTTTTCGCTGGTGAAACCACATATCAATTTCATGGCTGCAAAACTGTGAAGAACCCCAATGGATGAAGAAATGCAAATGATCAGTACTGACATGGTTTCAGGGGACTTCATGATGAACAAAATCATTGAAGTTCATTAGGATAAATGGTTCTGTCTGTTATGAAAGTCCCGAATTCCTTTGTGGTTCATTTGACATTAGCTGTGTGTTAGGGATAGAGAGTATATGAAAATCAGTTGTGGTTATGTGTCATTTATATTACAGACAACCTGTTGAAAACTAAAATCAACTGAAACAATAATAATAATAAACTTGTAGATGCAGTATATTTTTAAAATAGTATATCCCTTCAAATTTTCATTTTGATAAAATCACCCTCCAGAGCAAACAAAATTGCTTGAGATATCCTTCTTACTCCTGAAGAACAAGAACAGTGTTTAGTATCCCAATAAATATCTTGTTGGGGGCTGGAGGGTGTGAGAAAAGTAGGTCCTTTTTGGGATGGGGTCAACAATTTTTCTTAAAAACGGAGACTTTCACATTTTTTTGAAGTGACATGTTGAATGATACTTTTTTAATTGATCCTTAATGCAACCAACATATTTTCTATTTAAGTTTTATGAAGACCAGTGCGGGGGGGGCGGGGGGGAGAAAAAAAAAAAGTTTGACAACACAGTCGTGACAGAATTGTCTTAATGAGAACAATTGAAGATACAGGCATGATTTTAATCTTTCTATACAAATTTGGGGACATTTTATATTAAAACTAGTAAAATGCTGGAAACACTTTAATAGTGCATCTTAGTTTTTTTATCAAACATGTTGTCCCAGTCTCTTGATACTGTCAGCATCCTGTTCAGTTTTTCAGTGTTACTGTGAATCATTTCCATTTGGTATATAAAACACTTTATTTGATGTCTGTCTTTTTCAGTTGCGCATGTACCGATGGAGAATTCAGTCTGTTTTGCCTCATTTGTCATGTTAGGTCTCAGTCCAGCAAAGTATTTAGTGGTGCAAATAACTTTAAGCACGTGTTAGTTCTTGACTCAAGAACAGGTGAATGTCAACTATGGGCCCTGTAATGATCAGATAATCAGATACATCATTGTTCTGATACATCTATGTGGGTCCTTGGTGTCCTTCAGGAAGGCATTTGGGACAGTGCAGTGCTGGGTTAGCTGTATTGCCATAGCACAGGGTGTGGTTCAGGTTACATCACAAAACATTTGCTCCTACTTCTTTTAAGGTGGCTGCGCAAAACCCAGAAGGCTCAAGAATTATGCTGCAATACTATATATATATACACACATACCATAATTGAGTAAAATGGTAAAACAATATATGGTGTCTAATCTTCACCAAGTTTAGTCACTTTTGCAGAGTGGTTTTGTGCTTAGGACAGCCCCCAAATAGAATTTGTTAAGGGAGCATTTTACTAAGTTCCCCGACCTGTTTAATGTATAGAATTGATTGTAATTACTCAGACAGGATAGAGTATGCAAAGTACTGAAGATATAAAATCTGCTCATCAGGGGTGTTACTGAGACTTTGCTTCTTTATTAAAAGAACCTGAAACTAAGGCCTTGGTGTGACATGGATGATGTCATACGTCAGAATCCTGATATATTCAATAGAGCTGTTCCTGTCATTGAATCAATGTTCATTCTTACGCTGGCTCTGAAGCCAAATTAAATGAATGCTTGACAGGGTAAGGGTTTTAAGCTGTGTTTATCTGAAAGTCTCTTCCAATTGAATAAATACAGTGTATTTAGAAGTTGTTTTAAAGGTTAACAGTACATGTTTCAACATCTTTTTAATAAATTTCATGATAGTTTGTGATGTAACCTGTTGCTAAGGAAGGCCACTAGCATTTTTTTTATACCCCGAGGAGAAAAACAATTAAACATAGTATAAGCAAAAACAGTAAAAGTGTCTCTGTTCACCACATTTTTCATGGATCCTTCACATAAAATGGGCTCTTTACTCTCTTGCATTTTGCTTTTGTTTATAGTGTTCCTTTAGTAAAAGTATTTGTATTATATACAGTAAAAGTTTTGACAACATATTATAAAAATATATATTTTGGGACTTAGTATTTAAACATACCACTCTTATGGTGAGTAAAATGAAATGGCTTCTATCACGTGTAAAAATAGATAGAGAGAGATATATATATATATTCATGGAAGTACTATCAACTCTAATTTTAACAAATTATATAAACAAATTGGAATGGCAGTATATTTAACACAAGCTCACAAATCATGTTTTCCAGAGGAAAAAAATGTAGAATTTCAAAGTTCTGTGACTGGATGTGGAAATCCATGTAGTTTTCCAGCAACTCTCAATTGCTTTTAAGTGTTCTCCAGCATTTTACAGTTTCTGAGTTTGATATAGCAGTAAATTTTGATAAACTCAGGCATACTAATGGGTTCACTTTAATGGACCCAAAGCTGCAGTGTCTACAAGCAATAAAAAACTACCTAGAATACACTGTAATTCAATTTTAGTGCTTGTTGATTAGTTTATGTAAGAAACCATAAATTATTATTACGTAACTGTAATTTTTGCAAGTGCTATTTTAAAGCAGTTGATGTGGAATTGGGTGCATGTGACACAGCCAGTATGACAGAGTGCTAGAGTTATTCTGTTTACAATAAACAATCTGAATTTAATATTTGGAGTTTTTAATTTGTTTCATTTTAATTTTTTTGCATACTAGTAATGTTACATCTATCAGTCTGTGCATGTGTTTTTTTATTACACTTTAATTGTGATTTTCTGCTCTCCAGTTGTTTGGAGTAGTTAGGCTAAATAGCATTGCTGGAGAGGTGTTCTCAGTCACTTCTAGGGAAGTTTCAGAGGACTCCCCCATGTGGCATCCCACACCTTTTAGGTAGATCCACCTCTGTTGCTCTTTGAGTGTATGAAAACTTAATAATACAAAGGTAGAAATATTTGCACAAGACAGGATTTTAGTTATCAAATACGAAATTGTAAATTTGGAGCATTGCTGCAGCCAGACTGAATCGTGCCTAGTGCAGCTTTACAGTATTGCCTTTGAGAAATTGCTTTCCGTGGTCATTTTCTTTTTTTCATGCGCACCAAAAGATTACATTTAGAAACGTTAAGAGTAAGTGTGATTGTTAGAACAGTAAATAATGTCAGTTCTGAATTCTGACAGCGTAAAGTCAGCAGGTGCTTCTGCTGTTCTGATGGGGCTCCTTGAAGCAGTATCTGAAAATCAGCAACATTAAAAAGAGATAGGTTTTGTCCTTGGCATTGGGAAGAGGGGTTGGTACTCTCAGCAGAGAAATAAAATGCCTGCAACCCACCTGGAAAATTATTTGTACCCAACATCAGAGATCAATCGCTCTCTCCACTCCCAGTTGTTAGGGATTGGTGTAAATCTTGACTCATTGGCTTTATTGTCTTTTGCAGAAAAATCAAGCTATCCAAATTTACTTTGACTATTACTGTTAGCCATCAAAAAAATGCTTGAGCTTTTTCAGAAAATCATTTAAGCGCTTGGACATGAACTGCCCTTATTGATCATGTGTTCCACAGTGTAATCATAACGTGTGGAGAAAGCATTACATACCTTTTTAACTTCATTTATTATTTTCTAGCTCTTGTTTTAACACAAGGTCAGCAGAATTTTATTCTACCTTCTCTCTACCATTTAACTGGTTAGTATGCTTTTGCTATAGCTCCACTGTAAAGTGAAAAATTGTTATCTTCTACACCTTTCTTCATGTGTTTTCTGTATTTTTTCAATAGCTGACCATTGAACTGACATCTGCAATGTCATCTGGGTCCTTCCCTTGAGCCGATACCTAATTTGATATTCAAATCCAACACTGAAATACTTTATTTTCAAGTCAGTTTTTAATATTGTTGCTGCATGCTGCACAATACAAGGCACCTCTGTGCTATTTTAAAGGAAGAAGAGATCAGAAACTCGGGCACCTGTAATTTCAAAAGAAGCTTGGCCTATGTAGATTCTGCTGAAAGGCTGTTATTTGAAACATTTCAGAGTCTACTTACCTTTCAAAAAGTATACTCATAAGTTGTAGTACGTGCTGTTGGTGGAATACAACGCTAATAGTATGTAAAATCTGAATTGCAATTCAAAGGGACAAAGTGTGTATAAGGCCAAAGAACCAGCAGAATGGGAGATGTTACAATTAAACCAACTTACTTGACTTCACGCATCTAAACAGAATTTAGGATTGAAGATATTTATGGCTTCTTAAATGAATATTTCTAACCCACCCCAAGGCAGTTAACTAAAAGCGCAGCATCAAAGGATGTAGATGCCACACTGCTGAGCATTTGCCGCTGTTAACTTTTAGGACTCCCTCTTTAGTGATGCACTGCAAAATTTGGAATTAAATTTCTTGGCTGTTTGTGCAATGGGTGAGGGAAGATACACAGCTCCAAGTGGACTTCAGGTTACTGTTGCACTGAATGAGGCAGTGACTAGGCTTAGCCACTGGGGAAACTGTGAGAGGCATCCAAGTTTAAATCCGTTATTTCTGAGGATTTGCCACCACCTTACTGTGTGTTAGACGTGCTTCCTTCTGCTTCAGATTTTCACAGCTTTTCACTGCCTGCTCGGCTTCCTTTTCAAGAAGGGGAGCAAGGAATCATGCAGCTTTTCTAGCGACTGCCAAAGATAAGTAAACTTTTCACTGGAGCAGCAGCTGGAACTTAGGACCCCCTTCCAGCCCTCCCCTCCACCCATACACAGAAGTGGGTGTCCCATGGTATGTGTGGGCTCATACGTGCACATGTTCTCATGGTGAACACTTGCTCTACAAAATTAGAACAGGTTCAGCAGAAGGGAATGAGGAGGTCCTCAACCTATGTTACTAACCTCCTGAGAAGTGGGAAAAATGACCTAGAGAAAATTAATAGAAGATGAAAATGAAGTTGATTTTTTTGCTAACTTGTACTAACCACTGAGTTGTGGCATAGAAGAACGTGCTTTTTATGTGAAGTCTGTTGTAAAGTATGAGGTCCTGTGATGGCATAAATAGAAGGAGACCTGCTTGTGAATTCCAGGGAAATGTAGGAGAGCAATACTAACGTGTTTTACATGGTTAAGGCTGAGACATTTCAGAGCATGTGCAAAAATGGTATTCTGGGAAATCGAATACAGAAAATGTGGGTGTGTACAAATGTTAGTGAAAGCTGACACTGGGCTTTGAAGATCTAAA